TCCTCTGTAGGGCTATGGGTCAGTGAGGGATGTCATGTCTTGTAGTGGGACTGACCATACAGCCCTCTCTGTGAATTGGCTGCTCTGAGCAGGTATATCGATGTCAAGATTTGGTGGGCCAGGATGTGCTCCACTCTCTCTTTCTCACCCTTCATTTGTTCACAGTTCCCCCTTTCCACCGCACCCTCCCTCTACTCTCCCAATATTGCCACACACACCACTGGTCCTAAAGGGATCATTCACCCTGAATTCCCTGTGTTTCCAGTTCCTATCTGTACCAGTGAACATCCTCCGGCTAGACTTGCAAGGCAGAACTGGGACCACCAGGGGGGAGTAGCATCCAGGAACTAGAGGAAAGTTGCATGTCCCATAATTGCTGCACTGCACCCTGACAGGCTAGTCTCTTCCACGTGACCCCTCCGCAAGGGGATATCCAAATTAAAAAGAAATATTATAATCAATCTAGCTGGTGGTCTGCATGCTAAATGCCTGGGCTAGGATTCTGGTTCCTCTGCATATTTTAGTTGTATGATCTAATCCTATTTCTTCTCTGCGCTTCGAATGCCTCTTTACAAAAAGGGGATAATAACAATGCAGTTTACAATGGATTCTGACTCAAGGCAGCCCTGTGTGTGTCAGAGTAGATGTGCAAAGGACTTTCAATGGCAGATTCTTGAGAAGTAGGTCGCTAGCCCCTTCTGAGGTGCCTTTCAGTGAACTTCCAACCTTTCCATTAGTCTCTGATCCCTAGGCCCATGTCTGCGTCTCACAACTCTAGTGGCTTGGAGTGAAAGGGGCAGAGAAACTCCCTGATGTACACTCTTCATGCGCTCACCCCTCTGTACATTAATTACCCCTGTAATGCTCTATTACCCCTCTGGTGTTGAGGAAAGGAGGAAAAGGATAGAAACAGACATTTCCCTAGTTAGTGCCTGTGGGGGAGCTTGCTGTGTTCCCGTTGGGTGTTGAAGCCGATGTTCTAGCACGTTTGTAGGCCAAATGGGCGGTGACTTCAAGGGGATTCACTAATGAGAGCCTCAGTCCCGAGCAGCAGCCCTAAGCAATGATGTAAGGTAGAACTGGGGTCATGATAGTGGGAGAGGAAGCATGAATGACCTAGAGGAATGTTGTGTGTTCAT